ACAAGAACAAAATGACAAAATCAATGAAAAATTAGAAATGACACAAAATCTACACACAAAAATCCATAAGATTAATACTAAATTTTCAGAAATAGATAAGACACTGAATGCGCAAAGTAGCAGAATTGAATCAATGGAAGAACGAATAGGTGAGATTGAAGGCAAATACCTGAACACCACTTTGGAAAGGGCTCAATCAGAAAAAAGATCAAAACAAAATGAGCAAAGCTTAAGGTTCATGTGGGATACCATCAAGGAATAATCTATGTGTAATCAGAATTCCAGAACAGGAAGAGACAAATAAAACCACAGAGAAAACTGTCGAAGATTTGTTGGAAGAGAATTTTCCTGGTATGATGAAAGATGAGAATATATCCATTTAGGACATCCAACGAAACCCCAAACCAGATAGACCCCAAAATAAAATCACCCAGACATATCATCACCAAACTCATCAAAACCAAAGACAAAGAAAGAATCATGAGAGCAGCACCAGAAAAACGAAAAGCTACCTACAAGGGGCAACCAATAAGACTAAGCTCGGATTTCTCGGCAGAAACCAAGTAGGTGAGAAGACAATGGGATGGTATACATAAAGCCCTGAAAGAGAAAAATTTCCAACCAAGAATTATGTATCCAGCAAAATTGTCCCTTAGATATGATGGTGAAATTATGACATTTCCAGATAAGCAGAAATTAAGGGAATTTGTTAAAACCAGATCAACTTCACAAGAGATGCAAAAGGGAGCCCTTTCGATAAGAGAAGCAACAACAGCCAGCAATAACTGACTATTAACACACATGATGATATAACCCAGAAACCAACCCAGCTATGGAAGTATCCAAAGTAAATAAGCCTACAAGATTATAAACAGGGAACCAGAGACATTGATTGACAAATGAGGACAACTACAAACCAAAAAGAGGGAAAAAAACTGTGAGGTTACAGAACTTATAGATGGTAGGGATGTCAAGACAACTACAAGATAGAATGGACTGTTCTACACTTGAGAAGAAAACTATAAATCACAGGGTAACCTCAAAGAAAATGATAAACCTTCACATCAAAATAGAGACCCAGCATAAATATTCAGCAAATACTAAAACAATAGCAATGAAGGAAGTGATAACACGATTCATAAACAAAATGAGCTCAACACAGAAAATTATATGGAACAAAGAAATTGACACCACAAAAAAGCACATAACAAAAATGACAGCAACAAATTCATATTTGCCAATAATTATCTATCTCGCAAGGGACTTATCTCTAAGATTTATAGAAACCTCCAATGCCTCAACAGCAAAGGAATTAACAATCCAATTGAAAAATAGGCAGAAGACATGAACAGACACTTCACCAAGGAGGATATTCAGGTGGCCAGATAATACATGAAGAGATGCTCACAATCATTGGCCATAGAGATAGGTAAATCAAAACAATGAGATACCATCTCACCCCAGCACTGATGGCAAGGTTCAACGAGACAGAAAATAACAAATGCTGGTGGGGATGTGGACAGATTGGGACTCTCATTCACTGCTTGTGTGACTATGAAGTGATACAACCACTGTGGAAAGCAATATGGCGATTCCTTAGAAAGTTGGAATTGGAGAAACCATTTGACCCAGCAATCCCATTACTAGGTATATATCCTAGAGAGGTGAGAGTCAGGATAGGAACAGATACATGCACGCTCATGTTCATCACAGCACTATTTACAATAGCAAAAAGATGGAAACAACCTAC